CCCTTAAAGTACGCCGAGAACGCAATAAGAAAAAAAATGCTGAATCTTCCTAAGTTTTTTAAAGCTGATACAGAATTAATACGAATCAGGTGACTTTTCGTATTTGCTCCAAGTAGAGATAGCAACCTCGGGATTTCTGTGTCCAAGTAAAACGACTTTTGATGTTTTGCCAAAAGACAATTTGTTCAATACCTCAGAATATACAGAACTTAAGTTGGTTGAACATGATTTACCTTTCAAAATCGTACGTTCGTACACCTATTATTTTACAGAAACTTTAACACTACCTAATTCTCTATTTGTAATCATTTTATATTAGTTTTAATCTTTTTACACATAATGGAGCCCAGAAAAAAGTATTAGGTACCTATTGTTTAATGTTTTACAGTAATTATAAAACATTGTGATCTTTCGCCTGTAATAAACACATTAGTGTTATATTCATTTGAAAACAAATCTAATAACTTACGAACAAATGTAATGTCTTCAAAATATATACTACTATAATATAAGAACCTATGTTTGTTTTATTTTTCAAGTTTGACACACTTGGTAAACAATTTTATTTCACAGGATATATTATGATAAGAATAAATAAATATAATAATCATCTCCTAAAATAGAAATATTATTAAATAAATTTATATTTCTTTATGAATTATATTTTCATTATAATTATTCATTAAAAATTCCGAATTAACTAAATGTGTTAAACTATTAAAATACAAACAAAATGTGTACTTATGTTGAAGTTGTTTTTTCTGGGAAGCAGTTAAGCATTCACTATAGACTTAATTATTTATCATTATTGAGTACGATGTGCTGTGCCAATTATGGATATTTTGAAGTAATTTGTGTACAACTATTTTTGAAATAAACAACTCGTGATAACTCAGATATAATTTAATTTTCAATCTTGATTCTTGAGAACGAAATTAAATTCCATGAATTGTTAACAAATACATACATGTTTTATTTGGCGTAATGTTCGTCAATTTTTGTTTTTGTACACCAAAAACTTTAAAAATGTAAAAACTATATTTTTATGAATTCTACAAAATTATAAGCCATTGTTGAAATATTAAAGATTACATATTATATTCTGATTTTCTTTATGGTTCTAAACAGTAATCTTTAGATATTTCGAAAAATGTAAATCATTCAATTGATATTTTTAATTCAGAATATTCTACCTCTATTTAATGTTAATATTAAAACAATAACTTATGGCATAAATGTATTTGTTTTTTTTTTATACTATATGTCTGCGTAAAATGCCGTACAAAACTAATGGTCAAAAATGTTTTTAGTTTGTTAGGTTCTTCATATCAATTATAATAACCAGAAAAATAGATTGACATGTCGAATTACACCAATGCGTTAATTAAAGGTTTTCATTCCATGGTACCTACCTATACTAAACCCACTGAAAAATAAATCTCTGTTTCGTTGATTTCTACCTAAAATTAAAGAGGCTTTGATGTAATACAATTTTATTGCTTTACTGTAAAATATGAAGATTGAAATTCAATGAATTGTAAAAATGAATTACATTTTTATTGATAATGTGGCAAGAAAAAGTATTTATTTATTATACTTTCAGGAAATGTTTTTAAAATTGTTGGGTAAAATGTACAGTTGCCCGTGAGCCAAAATTCGTTAAAATTAATCAGGTATAAAATGTATTACCTATGTCAAATGTTTTTACCACATTGTTAGACGGAATCTGTTCAAAAACCACAAGATTCATGCAAGAAATATTTGACATTTTGAAATAATGAGATATTATTTTATACAATGTATAGACATATATTATTATATTTAGGTGTAGATATGTTTACATTGAATTAACGATAAGATGTCTATCACATGTCTAAAAAAAATACTTAACGTCCACTAGTATTACATTTATAGCCATATATCGACGATACTTAACTTCTTTCAAACGTTAATGATATCTGAAATTTAATGTATAAGCTATGAGCATTATAATATTATTATGCACCTTAATTTAAATTTTAAGACAAATTAATCAAAATTGTGTAACCATTTGGAGAGACAGAAATAATTGGAGACATATACTGTCACACTGACATCGGATAAGCAACGAAAGTATTACAAATTATCCTGCCATTGGGTAATAATTTACAATAGGTACTATAAAGACTTCGAATTAAAATATTCTTTTGATAGATACATATGAAAATTAAGACATTATTAACATATTATTTGCAACTAGATTTAAAGATATTATGGCCCAATCGCCTGAGGCAAAACCCGAAATCGTAGCCATTTTGATAATATTCATGTGACAAACTTATTGAATATGAAACAATCGCATCCAAAGTTACCTACATTCTAAAATAACCAATATTTCATAATTTTATGACTATTACATATGAAATTATATTTTTACCTAGTATGTACATAATATATTTGGCTTTAACCTTTATGAGAACTGATACATACATTTAATGTAGTTTGTAAGAATTAAAACAATAACCTAAATAAAATAGAAAAACTTTATAAATTAATCAAATTTAAGTAAAAGTTCTAAACTTATTTACAAATTAAATTAGATATCTGGTAATTAGATACTAGAATCCGTGGTCTTTAAGAGTGGATTTTAAAGTTAAGTGTGATAAACCAAGAACGTTAAACAATAAAGAGCAATAAAACAATTAATAATAACAAAATTACCATAACCTACCCTATTTGATACTAAAATAGTAATACAATTTTGTTTGAGGGGCTACTGAAATTCTTTAAATTTGGAGGCCTGGACACAACTATACAAGGATACTTAGGATCCTTCGTAAACAAGGGCATGTTTTTTAGTTTCTGTTTTTACATTTAGTAATTAATTATAACAAGTTATATAAAATCTCTTTTTTATGTTGAATTCCTATTATTAGTTTAATTAAAATTTTTAAATATAAATTATTACTTATTTCAAGACAAATTTAAAAGTTTTCATAAAATAAAAAAATATATATAGAATAGATACCTATTTACACAATTTCTCAAATAGGTATAACGTTGCAATAACATTGCTCTTAATGGTGTGACATTTTTCTTTTTAGAACATTTTAAAACTTCAACAAGTCAAGAGCGGCTTATAGAATTGTTTAAATGTCTTTCATTCTAATTCTTAAAGTATATAATAAATGATTTTAGTAAATACAGAAAAACTAAAAATTAAACAAAGTATGAGCTTCGAGCGGTGTATTATATTTAAGTTTAAGTAAAGACTGAAGAGTTGTATTATACTCATTTATTTGAAAACATTTATTATTTAATATAAAAATGAAATAGGTGTAGGGGGCATTATTTAAGTTTTTAAAAATAATTTAATTGAAATACTCAGAAAACAAATTAACATAGAGCCATTATAATTAATAAATATTGCATTTTTTATATTTGTCCGAACCCATAATTTTGCAAGTTCATTTTTTTTTTTTTTTTAAACAAACGAATTAATATGAAATATATTTAGGAATTTTTTTAGTAAATTTAATATTCAAGTCAAATTATAGATACTTATGCCAAGTAATATGAAGACAATATTTATACTATTGTGAATATTATTGTTTTTGAAAACGTATTGACAAGCTTTGTATTCCCTATATTTATTTGTGTGTATTTTAAAAGAAAAATTATTATTTGAAATATTTCAGATAGGCATCTACACATTTTTTTTATTTCGTCGAAAATAATGTTTTATTTTTTGCTATTAATACATCATAAATATTACAACATTAGTTTCGTACAACACGTCAACACAACAAAGTTCAATAAAATTCAAATTCAAATATCCAAAATAATATTCTTGCAAATACAGGAGCAGAATAAATATATCTATATACCTTCTGTATCTACATTAATGCATTAGTCAAATAAATTTAAATTTAAATTTGAAATTTGACTGTCGATATTTTAAAAATGTAAATGAAATCGAAATTTTTACGTTTCAGATTAATTTCATGACGGGTACCATTTAATACCGATATGGTAATATTATAATTTGGACCTGAATTGTGTATAAGAAATATTGTTGAATAAGCACATAATATTTATGCAAACAAAATTAAAAATTATGCATAAAAATGTATAAAGTATAACATTCATCAAAAATGCATAATATGCATAAGTGTATGTTCAATAATAGTTGGAAAATTGTATACGTTTTGCAAAGATGTACTTTCAAATTTGAAGGTATTTTTATTTACGACGTATATTAGTTTAATATAAAACAATTGAAATAGAGAAAATTATAAATTAAGTTTTGTATCTATTCAATATTCATCTATTATATAATGGTGTATTTAGCAGATCTCTCGATTCTCTTGAGCTCAAGATAGCCCATTACAGTCAAAAGTTTGATCAATATTTGAATTATTATTTTAGTGTAAAAAAAATTGTATTTTTGATGCAATTACTTAGAAATACAGGCGACAAGTATTCATTTTTACTGAGATATGCCGAAAAAAATCAACTATATACCTAATTTTCGCATTACGAAACGTCGACCTATTTAATTATTATATTTTTTAATCGGACTTGTTCTAAGCTAAGCGTGGAAGAACGATGTGAACGACTTTAATGCGACGCGCAATACATCGAGAAAACCGTTTGATTCGTTTGAAAACAAAATAACGCCACTTTAAACGTTAGTTGGCTGTAAATAGCAACGAGTGCCGATCAAAATGTGGCTTATAGTACGAGGTGCCCACCCGGTCAAGACAGTTTTTAACCAAAAATAAAAATATATTTATCTCAAAATATATTATTTTAAAGCACCTATTTAAGTTTTGTCTTATATTCGATGACACCCCGAAAGCTCGTCATCCGTATAATATTGCGTCCGCCTCGGACGTTAAACACGGTATTATAATGATATAATTTTATGCACAACATATTACTGAATATTCATATTATTATTATGACAGTATAACGGTGATATAATAGCGTATTTAATATTTAATATGTGTATGTCTTACCGAAGTCGGGTAGGCCAGTATGGTGTGTACGCAGAGCGCTGAGGCGACGGCGACGATCAGAGTGCTGGAGCGGGCCATCTCGTCGACGAGGACTGTTCGGAGACTTCGGGCGAAAAGCGAAATAAACGCAAATATTAAAATATTGTATCGGAAAAGTGCAGTAGTGTTGGCGGGCACACGACAGATGGGACAATCAACAGATGATTTGAACGGTCGAATATAATAGTATATTGTCGTGATGGCGACGATAGTGCAGTGGTGGGTACACGGCGCGTGTACGTGTGAATTCGAACCGCGGTCGAGTGCCTGAATCGGAATTTTTTCAAATGAATTAATTTTCTTTAAAAAGCAATACAATATAATATAATGATATTTTGAATCTCGTGAAAGCCAACGTATATTATATCAGTTCATTTACCGCCTATATAATAACAGTATATGTACGGTTGGTGTGTGTGGGCGATATCAAACGACGATGGTGCACGTCACTCGCTGTGTGACTATGTGTGAAGACAGAAGTTGGACACAATCGTACGGTGGTCGTCGGCCGGATAAGTGAGGTGCCCCGAAATGCAGGCGCCCATATATATACCGAACGTACGCGCGTACTCGAGCACCGCGGCGACTCCGCCTACGTCAGCGGCGCACCAACCCTTGGCGCGGCGGCGGTGGCGTTCGCGACGACCACCGCTCCGTGTGACGACTATTAGTTTTGATACGACATTATTATTATATAATAATAATGTATATACTCATATATATGTGTATGTATGTGTATGTGTATAATATATATATGCAATGCAGGCGTATGTGTATATATGTACTATACAGGGTGGTTCGCCGAACATGCTCGCCCCCCTTTTTTTTCTCCAATAACGTATAGTCATTCTAAATCCGATTTTTTAATTTCTCAGTATACTTTATAAAACCGTATTTCACAAATTCTTGAGATTTTTCGTACTATACTCAAGCAGTGTCCCGTGAAGATACAAACTTCTGTTTTTCAAGCGAAAACACACCTGTTCGACTGTAAATATTTATAAGCTATACAGTTTTTGACGTACCCATCAAAATCAAAATTCGTATGAGTAGTTTTTGAGTTATTTCGCTTTGTGTTCCAAAGGTTCACAGTAATGAATTTATTAGATATGAGGGCTATGGTGAGTTGAAAATTGTACATATTTATATTAATCTATCGATATTGATAATTTGTTAAAATGGCCAAGTACAATAAATACTAGATCCAATTTTACGTATATTTTATATTTATATGAAACCAATTTTGAGGATTCTTATCCTTAATACAAACATTTTAAAGACTAAGAAACTACTCGTTCGCGTTTAGAACGTGGCATGTTAAAATGTTCAAGACAATTACCCACTAATAAAATTTACAGGAAGAGAGGGGGGTTCTCATTTGAAAAACAGAAGTTTGTATCATCTCCTTAAGTAGAACAAAAAAATTCAAGAATTTGAAAATATGGTCTCCGAGTATATTTCAAAATTCCAAAAATCAGAATTTGAATAAATTCATTATTGAAGAAAAAATGGGGGTGAGCATGCTTGGTGAATCACTCTGTGTATGTATACTATGTATATTGTATAAGTCAATACTTCAGGTACACTGCAGCGGCGGCTGAGGGATTAAATAATGATTATACGTGACAAATATATTATTATTATTATTATTATTATTATTATTATTATTCTAAGATAGACCGATGCATCTATCAACGAACATATTATTATAATATGTAATAATATTTTGTATCGTAGCAGTGCAATGATAGTGTGTTCGAATCTAAGGGGGGAGGGGAGGGTGCTAACGCGAAGAGCTTTGCGTCCCACCGCAACGGGACGTGTGCAATATGCGATCGAGGTTTCCCTACCTATCCACATTTACCCCCGACATGAAATAATGGGGTAAAAGCTAGACTAGGGTAAAGATAAAAAAAATTACTATCATTGTTATTATTTTAGACGAATACCTATTCGAATGATGATAATAAATTATTAAATACTAGAGCACGGTGTGACGCGGCGGTTAACCGCGGTCACTATATGGTGTGTACTGCGGTCAAGCATCGTCTGGCGCCGCCATCCCCCGGATGGGTGACCACCATCACTCAAGTTTTTAGGGACGAATGCTCGACCCACATAGACACGTGTTCCTCAACCAACCTTAATCCCCATACAATCATATGACTACATGACTTATGTTTCCTAGGGTCGTATAAAAAATAAAAATGCATTTTATTGTACATATATGTTAATATGTTTATATGTCAATAGGTACCTATTTTTTTCCATTGCAAGTAGACATTTTAATAGTTATTAAAAATAATTTTATAACAATACTAATATACTATAAATAACTTTACACAACAAAATCAATACAATTATTACAATATTTGTAAATTAAATGTAGGTTGTACGAATCGATAGCTAAGAATAAAGGTTTTCGAGTGGTTGAGAAGTCCCTTGACCTCCTCCCCTCTTACAAATAGATCTATTATTGTAATATATATATATATATGTTCTATATAATTATATATTAACATGTATTATAATTTATAAAACGTTGGTATTTCGATCTACGCATTTCACAAAGTTATTATTTTGTTTTCGGGTCAACACAAGAACAACAATATGTTTAAAATATTTAAGTATGATATCATGCATATCATTGGTTTTGAAACATTTGTGAAAAATATTTCACTTTTTACACTTTATTTTACTATCTGGACATGACTCGAAGATTGTATACGTGTTTGTAGATGAAGTTATTTTAAACCGATACGCACATTTTTATTTTATATAATTCAATTATAAACTAACTACAATATGTAGTAATCTACTTAACTTAATCGAATTTATAAAAGATTTTCAAAGTTTGCTTATAGGAGTATAAAACTTAAAAACACGTTTTGGATATTATGTTATGCTTACCCAGAAATAATATATTTTACAAATACTTTTTAAATATTCAATATTCAATTCATTCAACATCTATACCAAATTTAAAACGAAATCCAATATATTTAAAAATAATTTTTGTGTCCAATAAAATTATATTATTTTGAGAGGGGTGATAAAATGCATTATAGAAATGTATTTACATTTTAGTATTTACATAATGATGGCTGCTTTTTCTTTATTGAGCTTTTATACAAACATTTATTACATTTCTACAGTGATAAATAATAATAAACAATACTTATAATGAAACCTAACTTAGCAATGGGAAAATAAATTAAAATTCCAAATAAAAAATCGGATGAAATGTTTAACCGAATTAACGATCCAATAACAAAATTCCTAAAAACCACTTTTCCAACCGATAACATGACAAAGTTTGATCTTCAATGGCAATTACATTTCCTGCAGTATTTCTGTCTGTAATTTATCAACCGTTAATCCTTAGTTATTTACCTTATCCTTAATTTAATTTTTAAAAACTTATCATAATTTATATACATAATATTTATTAGCGTCTACTTCTTTAACGCACGGCATAACTAACATATTAATATGTTCATAAACCATTTTTATCAATACAGATTACTTATCTGTTTTTCCCGTAATTATTTTTAATGTTACCATTGGTGCGTTTCTAATATTTGTTGACACATCGACAATCATTTGAATACATTTGTATACACAGACACAAATAAGTGGGTAGTTAAACCCCAAGCCATAAGTCCATTTGACGCGATGAAGTTTTTACCGTGGGTTATCGCATATCTCATTATGTGTCGTTGTTTTTTAACCTGTAACTCTACTTCCGGTGGCGCCTCACACATATACAGACACACGTATGTCTGCAGCCAAGGGATTAACTCGTCCATGGCTTAGGTATATATATAATACAACTGTCTTCCGCATCCGGTCTGGCCGGAAACCCACTGCGCGTCATTCCGTTTCATATTATTATTATTATAGTCCATCATCGTTGATATATTTTATACAAAGAGTATAATAATATCTAGGTAGGAACGAAGTACAATTTAATAATACAATTAAGCCATTATAGTGACTGCTAATATTTATTATCATAACTTATTTTTTTTTTTCTTAATCGAAAATCAAATTCGACATATGGTATTATTTAAAACTTATTAATAATTTCCAACGATTTGCCTATCTTCTTCGAGCGAGCATGCGATGAAGATGGAAGATAAAAGGAAAAAACACGGGCAGAATAAAAGCGCCATGATAAAAGTTCAATATTGGTATACGTATTTTATACAAACCAAGCAGAGTCAAAATATATACAAAGGTATGAATAGCTATATAATATTAATAGGACCCAGACACCCCTTATATATAATGTTGTAATGTATAAATTACCTGACCGCATGTATCCGAAATGGGTAGGTATACGGATACAGCTTTCGCCGACCGTGGTTAGGCCTAGGTTATATACATATATGTATATAATTTGATAAAATCTCACAGCAATAAATTTAATGAATGCGAGAATGGAGATGTTTACAAGTGGTTTGCGTGAAAATTAATTATTGAGATCTATTGTTACGCACCACGCGACGTCATAACCAACAAGATCAATAATCAAACAGCAATAGGTTTATTTTTGAAAAACATATTCGGATTACCATTACTAAACAAAGAAGACGTCGAGTAAATGCTTTGTTGGTGATTTTTATACCTATATTGCCGGAACTCGAAAAAGTTAATGCATTTATGGATTATTTAACAGGAAATTATATAAATTCTGAGAAAATATTACAATAGTAGGTAGTTGAAAAAACCAAACAAACGTATATGAACGTTTCCATTCCAAGTACAATTCATTATTTTATACTACGCCATCTAGATATTTGAAAACTATTCGAATCGAAACTAGAAAAGCTATTCGGAGGGCAGCACAAACAAGAAAACAAAAATGAAGTAGGCACATTTAAGAAAATTGTATTCATCGAAGAAAATATCCACAAATTTGGGATTAATAAAAAATACCAAGACTGGGTTTTGTTAAAACTGTGGAGTCAAACATCACCTTATTAAAAACATTTAGCAAAATGTATTTTAAAAAAAACAAAAAGTGCACTCATCCAAGTGTCTAAGCCAAAATGTTTTGGGGTGTGAATGTGTGAGCCAGTACACCTGTTCGTGTTGCTCTCCGATTAACTCTAAGCTAAACAGTAATTTCGAAACGCACTCGGGAGACCCACTTTTGCAGCTAACGTAACCTAACCTAAACGAATACAAATATCAAACGAAACTGAATTAATAGTTTTACCTAAAGGTCTTGTTTTTTTTATTTGAAGCTCGTGTACAATTTATGTTCACATTTTGGCACAAAAAAATATCGACATGATGTTATACGAATGACATAAAAATACCAACAACCTATTATCACCTCAGCTCCAAACATAAGAAAAATAAAACCGGTCAAACACATAATGAGTACTATATTGGTTATGCGAATAAAGGAATACTGTGATACCTGCCTAGGTACATACGGTTATACACGAATAAAGATCTGATTAATTCCGAACTATATTGTATATTGTAATTGTTGAACTATGATAGTTGTATGCTGAAAGCTCTAAAATTTAAAAA